TTATAATTATTAATTAATAAATAATAAAATAATTAATATTTATTATTTAATAAATTAAAATTAATTTATTTATAAAATAATAAATAAATAAATTTGTGTATTCTTAATACAATAATGTATGATCACATCACAACTGTCAAGTCAGGGCCACACAGATGAAGACTAGAAATGGAGTGATGGATCTGAATCAAAAAAATCTGACAGATTGTACACGTCATGCATTACGTATGTCATGAAACTTCTGGCTATTTTGTTGTCATAGGAAAGGTGGAAGGTGCAATTTAACCCTTGTACTTGTAATGTTGTGGTAAGTTAGCTCCTATGCTTTAAACTATAGCAAAGCAGCCCCTTTTTTTTCACAAAATCCGCATAACAGCCCTTTTAACTAAACTGACGTCATCCAAACATTAAACCTTCCAATTGTCTGTAGGCCAGCCAAACGAGTGGGTTGGATTGAATTTGAATTAGGTCAATTTGGATGATGAGTTATGCAAGTTGGGTAATAAATTGATTGTAAATTGAAAAAATTTAATTTTAACTCGATCTTAACGGGTTAGGAATTAACTTATAGAATAATTTTATTTTTATTTTTTATAATTATTTTTATTAATTTTATTATATATAAATAAAATTATATATATTTAAATCTAATTAAAATATTATAACTCATTAATACTAAAACTTTATAGTTTCAATCACAAACATTTAAATTAAGAAAAAAAATCATAAAATTATAAATAACAGTAAATTAATTAACAATATTAAACTTAAAATATTTAAATTTCTTGAAAAATAAAATTTTAATTTTACAATTATCTTGAAACATTATTAATGAGTTTAAGCTTTTTTTTAATGATGAAATTGCTCTCCCAATAACATTTTTCAGTAAATTATTATGTTTATAACTTAAACATCACATTTTTAATATTTTTAGTTTATTATCATTTCATTCATGATATTTGGTAATTAAATCAAACTCACATAATATATAGAGAAAAAAGAAGAAATTATGATGAGTAAACACTTAAAATAAGTTCAAAACCATTCAAATAATAGAAAGGAGATTGAAGAGTATGAATTAATAAAGAGAGTTATCAATAAAAAAATTAATTAAAAATAATAAATATAAAATTTTTTTTAAAAATAATAATAAATAAAATAAATAGGTCAATCCGTCAACCTATTGATCTTAATCCGACTTGTGATTTGTACGAGTTGATATTACAAGTTATCAACGAGTTGATATTACAATCAATAAGTTACGGGTTAAAATGCATAAATTTTAACTTGTTTTATTGGGTTAGGATCGGATTAATAGGTCATATGGATTTGTATCATCCCTAATTGCCTATTAAAGCCTGATGAGGTGGCACCGATTGTGTGCTATCTACTTTATATAAAGGAAAGCTTCTTTTAACTTGTGATATTGAAAATATTGTATTTTTTAAAATATTAAAAACTCATAAAATATTAAGAATTTTTTAATTTGTATTTTTAAAATATGAGTATAATTAATATTTTTTTATGTTAATTAATATAAAAATAATAAAAATTAATATTAATTTTATCATTAATATTACATAAATTATTTTAATTAAAAATTTAATTAAATACAAATTAATTTTTTTATAATAATTAATAAAAAAATTATTAGCATAGGCCGAAATTTAAAAAAAAATTTGATATTAAAAACCACTCATTTTGGCCTTAAACAGCCACCATTTAGCAATAAACTAATAAGATTGGTCCCACTTTAAATTTTGATTCTTGGAATTTTGTTATAGAGAAACGAGTGCACGTAACATGATATTTTTTTGTTTGATTGACTAAGAGATAACAAAACTTTAAAATGAATGACACATCTTGTAATTGTGTTGATTGGTATCCATTTCTTCGTTTTG